TTGCTTGGCTGGAAATACTGGGGAACACCACCATCTGATAATGTGTGCAAAGCAGATCACATATCTTGACAAATTTGGATTGCCCCTGGAACTAATTTTGGATGCCCCAAGTTTACTGCTGATAAGCTGCGTGATGCACAACAATTCTTGCGAATAACTTCACTTATTAAATGCCCCAAATTACATGGTTTATGAGAAGAAATTGTATCAAGAGGATTTTACAAAAGACCTGGCATCCTTAATGCTCTAGTGTCTTCAAAATCTTGGAGAGATTCGTTGAATCTCGACGTGACTGCCCCCGATTGACTATATTTGGCACAACAGAGTCTTCAAATTTTCCCCGTGAGGGTAAACGGACTATGAAGGCAACAACTTGTTCATGCTGAAAATCTTCAGGCGACATGCCCCTGGATATGATCATTCTTGAAATGATTCGCCAATTACTCCATAGAGTTTCAGGCCTAAAGATTAACTCATCATTGGTGCTTATATGTGAGCTTCATTGATATCAAACAAATATTTTGCAGTTAGAAAAAGTTTATTATGAGAATGGAAATTCTAATGCAACAGTTATGTAAGTCTTGAAGATTTTGAAAAGATATCGCACAAATTTTGCGAGTTAGAGCAACATTTATTTTTGTATAGCAAAAGCATATGATACCAACATAACTATTTAGCAAACATTCATTGGAGTCAAGAACAATATCTCATTGAAGTATGCTTTCAAAATAACCTTGCTTCAATTAGGACTTTTGAAGGTTGTAACATGGCCTGGTTCATGGTTTTTAGAAAAAAGATTTTTAAGGCTCAAAATTTATAGGTGCCCACCCATTCTTCGTGATGTTCTCCAACCTTATGTTCAGTTAATTCAACATGAGGGTTCATCTCTCAAAAGGATTTTGTGACGGTTAAGGAAACGACGAGGCTTTCGGAGTAGCAATCACCCTTATGTCTTCGTGTTTGTAGTCACCAATTTGTTCTTTGCTGAGGACTTTTCTTTGTATTCCTTTCTTTGCAATTTTTTATTTTCCCTAACTTTTGCCTGAACTAAGTTTTTTAAATTGATAGTCCAGCAGGATGCCCTAATTTTTGCCTAAGCCGCACGTTTTCAAGTTTTCAACTTAACATGCTTTTTTCTTTTTGAACAAAACGTGTGACATTAGCTTGTCTTTATTTGTTTAGAGGTTTGTGACTGCCTCGTTTCTTGATGAATGAGGGATAACATTGTGGTTCCACATCTTCTGGCTTCATTATACATGAAGGATAACCCTTTTAGTTTCTCTTCAGAAATATCTTCCTTATGAATTTTGAACACTCAATCAGATTAACTGAAAACTACCCTGCCCCAAGTTAAAATTTAAGGGTTTTTTCGTATAGAAAAGAAACTCCTACTTCAAGGCTCAAAAGGGGTTAGCAAGGGATTATCTTCCTTATATCTCCGGTGTTTAGGGATTTGAAAAAATGCTTGTACATCGTCAACAAGATTTTATTCAAAAAGCATACAACCATAGATTTTGTGTTTTTCAAATCATCATCCTCCCTTCAATCTCTACCTAGGCAGAAGAATGGGCAACAAGTTTGTATCATAATGCAAAAAGCAATTTAAAATTTGAAAACAAATAGGAGTGAAACAATGAATTTCTTCAAGACAAATATACTCATTGTATTAAGATAATCATTCAAATGCAAACAAGTTCTTACATGCAAACAATGTTTTGATAAACTAGAAAATTACAAAAAAACAGAAATGAGTTAATAATATGGGAAGGATTTCCATCTGGACTTTTGCTGAAGGAAATCTCTCCTAAACTTCAAGGCAAAAATCAACATAGATTCACTCATGCTTTAGCAAAGGGGCTGACTTGAATGTTAAGACTTCCGTCTTTAAATGATAAAATAACACCTTTGACCATCTTCTGAATCTCAATATTCAAAGCAAAACAACCCTCAAAGTCGTGCCCAGGAGCACCTTGATGAAAGACACAAGTTAAATCAGCTTTGTAATACCAATGCATCTTCTCAGGAACCTTCGGTGGAGGTTGGGTCTGAACAAAACTCCTCTGCATCATGACATCAAATAACTTTGTATAGGTTGTTGGAATTGGATCATACTGAGATATTTTATGATTAGGAACTTGCTGATTCTGTTGATGAACTAAAGCTGCAGAAGGTAAATTGAATGCAGGGATGATAGGAGGAACATGATGATTCTGGAAATGATTATTTCTTCCTCTAGATCTCTTCTTAGAAAATTTATTATCAAACTTCTCCACACTACTAGCTGAGCCACCATCTTCATATAAACATCCCTTTCGGACATCTTTTCTAGATGCACTCCCACATTCACCTTGTCAAGAAAGTCACTAGGTGCATTAATTATCATCTTTTCATGAAAGAATGATTTCAGGGTTTCAGTGAAGACCTTTGCCATCGCTTCTTCCTTTCTAAAAGGATTGACTTGCACGGCAACCAAAATTTCAACCAAACCAGTTAAGTTCTCCATACTAGTTTTCAAAGTAATCATCTCCTTACGGAATTCAGAAATCTCTTGCTTAATATTCTCCATTATTCTCTTAGCGCGAGTGTTGTACTGGTGAGACCAAAGAAAAATAAGGCTTGGAAATGATTTTCAAAGTGAAACATAAAATGTAGAATGATGCATGATATGCAAAAGAAAGTTTTTATTTGATTTTCAAGGAACTCAAGATATTAAGTTGTAAACATACAAAGTATGAATATAGAAGATGAATTTTAAATTGGATCAAAATATTGATCAAGTTATCATCAAGATCAATCATCCATTTTGGTAGATTAGGGTTTTCACCCCCTATCAACACCCAAGATCCATTGAGCTTGACGAAACTTGTGATGTTTACAAAGAAAGATTTCTAAATTCCTTGAAAATCAAGTGAAAAAGGATTTCATGGATGCATGAAGGCATGGTTATGCAACAACCACAAGTAAGGTCACAAACAAAGTGGAAAGGTTCAACGTCACGAGTATGGAGTCAAAGGTAAAGACCACCCCAAGGTATGTACTAAAGATTTAATCACACTTGTAAAACAAGGTTCTAAAAGTTCCCAGAGTCTACGATCCTTCTTCAGATATTACCAACGTCCCAATTTCTCGGTAAATAGTAATATTCGTAGGAAAAACTCATTTGAGTGTAGCATCGCATGACAACTACTTTCCGATTACTCTGTTATAGTCTCTGCACTACATTTAAGAGGCCAAGATGGGTTAAGGGTTCTACGGTTCTCAACTTCTTTGGATCCTAGGTCAAAAGCAATAACGTCTTCCCGATTACTTGGTAAATGAATACTACAGTCAAAAGGGCTTCCACTGAGTGGGGGATTTCATGTCTCCTTCTTCGGGATTACTCCCTCAAAGTTAACATGACTATACAACCCGTCCTATTCCTAAGTGTAACTTAGTCCGGGTGTAGGACTTGTCCTTTGTAAATATCATCAACACCCAAATAACCACAATATATACATATACTCAAACAATCAAATAACAATAAAACATATAAGACAACTTAGGCTTAACCCACTTAGGGATTGACCAGCAAGAGGTCAATCTCTCCCAAGCAGAGTCGCCAATTCTGTAGCGGTGAAAATTGGAGATCAAGCTATTAATTAACTTGACTCATAAATAACAAGAGTCGCCACCGTGCTTTATTATTTTCAAGGTAAAAGTAAAAAGAGAGAAATAAAACCCTAAAATATGAAATGTAAAGTAATACTTAAAAGTAATGAAAAATACAATGCGTTTTTTTGAAAGAGATCGAGAGTTCGGGGGTTGGTTATGCAATGGGAAGGTATTATCACCCAATGCATCTGTGGTACTCCGCAGGAACCTTTTGAAATATCTGTTTTTGGTTAAAATTGTTTGTTTGATTAAAATGGTTCGTTTGACTAAAAATAAGTGTGGGCGATATTTTTAAGATGTGACAACCTAATGTTGAAGTTTTGACTTAAAAGGTGTGAGTTTGAAAATTGAGTTTTTAGGAAAATTAACTTAAGTTTAGCAAAAAAGAGTAAAATTAAAATGAATGAAGGGATTCGCTCAATTGGATAAGATGTATTTGATGACGTGAAGTTAACAAAATTAAAATATTTCCCTTGGAATTGAGACGGACGAAAGATAAAGATTAAACAATGGAGAATAAAGTTAATTATAGCGACAACAGAACAATTAATTAAATAACAAGAATTAAATTACTAGCATGCATTTTCAAACAAAAATTAAATAAAAGATTAGTTTATAAGCATGTATTTAGACAAAATTAAATAAAGATAAACATGTATTAGAATAATTAATAAACAAAAAAAATTAAATAAAAACTAATTGAATAATTAATAACTAGCAAAACAAACAACATGTATTAGCTTTTGGAAGAAGTTTATAAATAACTAAGTTAATGTTTTATTAAAATTGAAAAAAAATAGATAAAAAGGCCCAACAGGGGTTGAACCCAGGTTCTCTTAATACTATAAGCAATGCCTTGCCAACTGAGTTGTTATATTTATTCGTTACTATTATGATTTTATTAGAACATAAAGGAAAATGGTAATTAGATTGGGCCAAAAGGCCCAAAGGCTGACCCGGTTTAGATGAAGGGAACAAGGAAAAGTTAGTGAACCCTAAAGAACAAAGGCACCGCTGTTAAAGCATTGGAAAGGAAAAGCTGCAGATTAACTATTATTGTTGTTTCCAATAAAAAATTAAAAGAAAAAAAAATGATAAAACACTCCTCTCTCTCACGGATTATCCCCTATTATCTTCCTCTTTTCCTTTATGGAACCATAATCCCTCTTAGACATTTGAATCCTCTCCCATTCAACAATTGATGGTGCTCCTTCTCTCTTCACTTTCTTACTAGCCTTATGCACAACACTTGCAGCTTGGGCGGCGACAAAAGACGATCCATCCGTGCTACCAAAACCAGCCATTCTGGAGTGGGAATCCCAGAGAGGGTTTGAATTATTACTTTCAGGATGATGTCGAGAAATTTGGTGTTGCTGATGCAAGGGGGCGAACTTGATGGCTTAAAAAACATTGGGAGAAGGAGACAATTTAAAAAGTTATTTCGATCTGAAGCTGGGTTGTCACTCGGAAGGCAGTTGCAGAGGGATTATGTTCGGTAACGTGTTAAACACGAGCAGGATGGAGTATTCTGTGGAAGCAATTGTGAATTTCTTGCAGATATGAATGATTGAGAGAGGATGTAACGTGATTAGTGAAAGGAACACGTAATCAGTTTTGAGGTATGAGGTTTAATACTGATTTAATTTTATTTTATGGGGAACTATTGAGAATGTTTGGGGTTTAATTGAAATTAATATTTGGTTTGAGCTATCTACAAGAAACTGGCGGCTGGTTAGTGTATGATTAAAGGTGAACTATGGTAGAGAGGAGTTGTTGTGAAACTCTGAGTTTTTTTTGAAATAGACAAAACTTTGGGTATACTTATCTCTGTCAAATCCTTTGTGTTTTTTTGTATGAAACTTTCCACAGAATAATTGTCTTGTTAATATTTTTTTTTGTGAATCTCTTCTCTTCTCTAATTCTTATTCCTATAAAACAAATAACAACTTAGCGGTTTTCCTCTCTTATTTTCATTCAAGAACACAGGGAAGGAAGAACAACAATAAAACTCTTAGATTAAACAAAACTCCAATTAAACATGATAAGATTCATGCAATAATTAGGAGGGTATTACTCAATGAAATTAGTAGAATGTAATTGTACCAAGAAAGCTAAAGAAAAATACTTACACGGTCGGACTTCAGGTTCCCAGGTGAGTGTTCTCCTCCTCCTCTAATGTTAGTAATTTTCTCCTGTATTGTTGTGTGAGATTTCTATATCTAATTCTCCTCTTCCCTTCTGTTGAATGATGTTTTCATTTTATAGAGAAAGAATGATAAAAAATTTGGAGGGGGGGGGGGGGGGGGGGGGGGAAGTTGGTGTATTTGAACTATTGTGTTTAATTGTTTTATTTCTTTTTGAATACAAATTTTTATTTCTATTTTGATGTTATTTTTTGGACTGCTTTGGACAGGGTTTGGACAACATAGCAACATGTTTTTGGCATTATTTTTGGACTGATATGCAGGGTTGTTTCTGGTTTGGGGCAGCAGTATAATTTTGGAGCTTTATGCTTGGATAGAGACAAGGCTTGGTGTGGACATCAATGAGAGGTTTTGGGACAGTTTTTCCTTCTAGTTTGTGCAGGTTGTTTTGATTTTGTAGGCTGATATGGTAAGTTTTGGCCTGTTATGTTTGTCTTATGGCTGCAAAATAATGGACAAGTAGATGTCATAATTTGACTGTTTATTTAGCATTGTGCAGGAGCTGGAGTTTGGCAGCAATTTCTACAAGGTTGTTGAAGGCAATATGTGGCATGGATTTTGGATCAAGAACAAGTCTTAGCTTTAGGTTTAGATTTTTTTTTCTTGTACAAACACTTGTGTAAGGTTCTTGTGGTAACTTGTAATTTTGACTTAGAACATGATTGAATGTAATTTGGGCATTTAAACTTGTACAACTTGCAAATGGATGAGACAAAGGTTACTTGGAACTTTGAAGTTATATTTTTTATATGTCTTGAGAATTGAATGAGTTTGAATAATGGATGGTGAATAGTAAGGTCTTGGGACTTTGTATTTTGGACACTTGAAACCTACACTTTGAAGAGTAGTGAATGATATTGTATCTCAAGAAATTCACACAAATGCTTAAGAATTTTGATTATTTCAAATCTCCATGAACCAATAATCAACTTGTATCTTAAGAAATTCGGTTCACTTGATAAACTTTCACCTCCCTATTTCAATGACAAACCTTGAATCCCTAACTTTAATTCTCAAAATCCAAATTAACTTGCAATTGGAGCAACAAGTACTTGAGGACTTCAAATTTGTATATGATCAAAACCAAACCACAAGTCACTCTTTTATGCCCTTGTACTTACACTTCAATCCATCATAATCAACCATGTCTTTGAAGAAAACTTATCATGACATTAATTGAAATTGGAAGTCAAGAACAATTCTAAATCAAGAAATGACATACAACAATTCAATAACTTTTAAAGTCTTTTAAGCACAAATTCCCTCATTCCTTGAAGCAAACTTGTAGATGATATTATATATGACAGTGTGCAAGAAGAATCATCTCAAACTATTGATCATTGAGGAAGTTACGATCCTTGCACTTGATCTTGAAAATGTTGACTTTTCAATAAAAGAGCTTTGAATCAACTGGCAAACTTGATCCTTCCTTGCATTCCCAGACACCTTGTTGCATATGTGAATCAATGATGATAAATTCTTGATTATGCTCCGAGGAAGTTGTGGAGAAGCTTGAGACCACTTGTTGAACATAGCGTGGAAATAAACACACGATTTCCCTGATGAATCATTCTTCAAGAATCAACGATTAACTGTACTTCTGGCTTGAGAGATTCCAAACCCTAATCGAGGCGTGACGCCTGATGCTCTTGATTCAGATCTGTTTCCTGCAAATGAAAACAAAGAAACAAAAAACACACACTTCATTCTTGATTAGAAGTTAGTGATACATAGGCTAAGAATGTTCAAAATACTTGAAAATTTCTGCATAGTCAATGCTCGAAGGTGAGAGGTTAAAACCGATTGTATTTTATAACCTTGACTTCTGTATAAAAATGCAAAAATAAAAATGGGATCTTAGGTCAAAAATTGGGGTATGACAGCCAAGACAAGGGGCCAGGAGGTATTATTTGAACCTGTCCAAAAGAAGGCACACCCAAAGGTCATTCTTGAAGCTTCTAGCAAAGAGATAGAAGAGATACTAAAGATAATCAAGAAAAGTGACTACAACATCGTGGAATAGTTGGGGCAGACCCCCTTGAAAATATCAATGTTGGCCTTACTTTTATGTTCTAAGGATCATGCCAAGTCCTTGGTAAAATTTTAAAAGAGAGCCCACGTGCCCCAAGAGACCTCCGTTGATCAACTTGAGAATTGTATGGCTAGTCTAACTGCTGATAAAAATTTGGGCTTTTCTAAAGCTGATTTAACTCCCAAAGGAAGGAAACACAATGATGCCATGCATGTTTCCATTGAGTGCAGGGGCACTACATTAGCTCACATACTGGTGGATACAGGCTCATCGCTAAATGTCTTGCCCAAAAATGCTCTTGTTCGTCTAGATTGCGAGGGACTCACTTTAAAGCCTAGCAACATTATGGTGAGGGCCTTTGATGATTCTAAGAGGACAGTGCACAGAGAAGTTGACATCCCTATAAACGTTGGAACTCAGAATATTGATTCAACTTTCTATGTGATGGATATCTGCTCTTCCTATTCCTGTCTATTGGGCCGACCTTAGATTCATGGTACCGATGCCGTCACTTCTACCTTACATCATATGTTGAAATACCCAGTCAAGGGAAAGATCATCACTATTCGTAGGGAGGAGGAATACATGGTTAGTCACCTGAACTCTTTCAGGTACGTGGAAATGGATGGTGAGTTCATTGAGACTCCATGTCAGAACTTTGAGGAGGTCCCACAAACAGTTATGGCAGCCAAGACTACTACCAAGACTCCAAAGGTTACCAGACCGCCATTGAAAATGGCCTCTCTGAAGGATGTTGGAGCAGTGGTTGAGGAAGGTGGATGTACCATATGGGGTCAACTTCCGGATATTCCCTACAAATCCAATAAATTTGGTTTGGGTTTTACTTCGGAGGCCCAGAAAGCTATTCGACTAACTCGCGCTGGAGGACCACCTTTACGTATCAGCAATCAGGGTGTCAACACTTTGGAAGACAGTGATGGCAGTTGTGACATAGACGAGTGGATTTTTTCAACCATCAGCGGAGGGCTCAATAATTGAGAAGCTAAAGAATTTATCCCTATTACTTTTATTCAAGAGTAATTGTCTTTTAAATTTCTTGTCAGACTTGTAATAATTAAACAATTTAGACTTTAAAACCTTGTGTCTTACCCGAGGCACAATGGTCTATTTGTGAGGGTTGTTACTTCATCTTCATATGTCATCAATAAATCATGGATGTTTTTGCATGCAAATTTTATGCTCTTTGTTTTTATTTTTCTACCTTTTATTTTATCAAAGATAGCTATGCTCTTACACACACCCACATATCAAAATGCAGATCCACATCCACTCAGGATCCCATGGGTAATGATTCTGCTATGGCCTATCATGATTTTGAGAATCCGATCTACCAAGATGAAGATGAAGGTGAGGAAGATTGTGAGGTACCAATAGAACTAGCCAGGTTATTGCAAAAGGAAGAAAGGACCATACATCCCCACAAAGAGCCAGTGGAAACAATTAACTTAGGTATTCAAGAGGACAAGAAAGAAGTCAAGGTAGGTTCCAACCTGGAGCCTAGTGTCAAGAAGCGCTTAACTCAGTTACTACATGACTATGTTGAGGTCTTTTCCTGGTCATACAAAGACATGCTAGGACTCGACACTAATATCGTGGTCCATCGTCTACCGACAAAAGAAAATTTCCCTTCGGTAAAGCACAAGGTCCGTCACATGCGGCCAAAAATGTCAGAGAAAATCAAGACTGAAGTCATGAAGCAGTTTAACACCGGATTCTTAGCTGTGACCTCCTATCCACAATGGGTCGCCAATATTGTTCCAGTACCTAAAAAGGACAGTAAGGTACGTATGTGTGTGGAGTACAGAGACTTGAATAGGGAAAGCCCCAAGGATGATTTCCCGCTTCCCCACATCGATATTCTGGTTGACAACACCGCACTTCATAAAGAATTTTCCTTCATGGATGGTTTCTCCGGATACAATCAGATCAAAATGGCACCTGAGGATATGGAGAAAACGACCTTCGTCACACAGTGGGGGATGTTCTGTTACAGAGTTATGCCATTTGGGTTGAAGAACACCGGGGCAACCTATCAGCATGCCATGGTATCTTTGTTTCACGACATGATCCATCACGAGATAGAGGTCTATATGGATGACATGATAGCCAAATCTCAAACTAAAGAGGAACATCTGGACCATCTACAAAAACTATTTGAAAGACTGAAGAGATATAAACTAAGGTTGAATCCTAATAAATGTACTTTTATAGTGAGGTCCGGTAAACTCTTAGGCTTCGTTGTCAGCGGAAAAGGTATCGAAGTGGATCCTGCAAAGGTAAAAGCAATACAATAAATGTCTGCCCCTCGCACTGATAAGGGAGTTAGGGGATTCTTAGGACGGATAAACTACATCGCCCGGTTCATTTCCCATCTAACCGCTACTTATGAACCAATCTTCAAATTACTGAAGAAAGATCAAGTGGTGGAATGGAATTACATCTATCTGGCTGCCTTTGATAGGATCAAAGAGTACCTTCAAGAGCTTCCCATTTTGATGCCGCCGGTTGGGGAAAGACCTCTGATCATGTATCTAACTGTCTTAGAAAATTCAATGGGGTGTGTGTTGGGACAGCATGACGAGTCTGGCTGAAAAGAGCATGCAATATACTACGTGAGCATAAAGTTTACCGACTGTGTAACCAGATATTCACTGCTCGAGAAAACTTGCTACGCTTTGGCATGGGCTTCTCGCCTGCTAAGACAGTATATGTTGACTCACACTACCTTATTTATATCCAAGATGGATCCAATTAAATACATATTCGAGAAGCCTTCCCTCTCTTGAAGAATAGCAAGATGGCAGATGTTCCTGACTTAATACGACATTCAATACACTACCCAGAAGGCAATAAAGGGAAGTGTGCTAGCCGATCACCTTGCTCATCAAGCTGTGGATGACTATCAATCCATGAATTTCAAATTTCTAGAAGAAGACATCATGGTGGTAAATAATTGTGAAGAACTCAAACCACATAAATGACCTGAACAAGGATCCCGATGGACCATGTGTGATCGGTGGATCTGGAACTGACTGTTTAACGCTGGTTCGTGAAATGTCGCGGAAGCAAGAGTTGCCACCGTCTTTTATTTTCTCCAATATGGAAAGGACAAAAGCACAGAAAAATTCCTTATTGAGATTAGTTCTCGGTTCGGGAGGTAGATTTATAGAAAGGGAAGGTGTTAGCACCCTTTCTATCCATGGTTATCCATGGGCTCTTAGATACTTGCTCATTGTGTTTTCAAAAGTGTTTGCTTTTTGTTGTACCCCAAAATTTGCCCTCGCATCGTACC